TTGCAGCCGAGGCTCTCCAGAGGGACATTTACATGGATGATATCGTCAGTGGAGTGGCTAACGTACTTACAGCTGTGCGTCTTAAATCTGAGTTGCCTGGTCTTCTAAGATCTTGTGGCATGTAGTTACATAAGTGGAGATCCAATGCAGTAGAATTAGACGAGTCAACTGATGTCGTAGAGCACAGATTTACCAAAATGGACGAACTGATGAATTCCGGTTTCAACTCACTTCGTTAAAAAGGCAAAAAACATATACAAAGAGAGATGTGCTTAGCGTCATAGCATGTATCTTTGATCTGCTTGGACTTGTGGGCCCAATTATCACAAAAGTAAAAATCTTCCTTCAGAGACTCTGGACATTCAAGTTAACGCGGGACGATGTGCTTCCTCCAGTTTTAGCCAAAGAATGGGAATTGTTTGTCCACAATCTTCCAGCCATACACAAGTTACATGTGAAACGCAAAGTGACAGACAATGCATCAGGAATGGAACTACAAGTGTTTGCCAACGCCAGTGTCCTTGCTTACGGAGCAGTAATTTACTCACAAACTCGAAATGTAGACGGCCAGCTTACATCAGAATGTTCTAAGTCAAGAGTTGCTCCTATAAAACAACTCACTATTCCACGTCTTGAACTGTTATCTTCTATATTGGCATGCAGGCTACTGGACAAAGTACGGAACTCTCTCAATGTCCCCAACGAACAGGGTTATATATATTCAGGCTCAAAAATAGTTCTCGCATGCATAAAAACTGACTGTTTAAAGTTAAAACAATATGTCGCCAATCGAGTGAAAGAAATCCAACAACTATCACAGAATTCTGTTTGGAACTATGTTCCGTCGATAACCAATCCAGCGGATATATTGTCTAGTGGTTGTGAAACAAAGGAACTTTTACATCACTCATTATGGTGGCAGGGTTCCAACGCCATAAATCAAAGGAAGAACTCAAGAGTCTGAAAGTGAACTATTTTCCGAAAGGGACTCAAAGATGTATCAATCTGAATTCAAGCCATCATAAGACATTAATCTATTAATTTCTCATTTCAATTTTTCAAACCAAATATTTTCTATAACAAATTTTTATTCAAAATTGACTAATGTAATGTCTTATGCATATAGGTTTATTTACACCAGCGATCGAAATGGCTCTTTGAAAAGGATAACATTTCTATTGGCACTGTAGTTATAGTAAAACACGATAATTTGCCCATTAATCAATGGCTCATGGGAGTTGTTTCCAGGAAAAGACAAATGAGTTTGCAGTAAGAAAACCAAACATGTTTGCAGTGCGAAAACCAAATGTGGTATTTTCAAACATCCTATCACTAAGCTAGCCATTTTACCAGTGCCAGTTGAAGTTTGATTAAGTCATTTCATTTTGTGTCAATTTTATATGTATATATATATTTCTTTTCTATTTTATAAAAAAAGTTATGTCATTTCCGAATTGTTTATTTTTGCAGATTACTTATATTTGATATTATTTCATTGCTGATATGTTTGAAATACAGTATTGTATTTTAACGCGGGGAGTATATTGTATCTTTACTCCAGCGCCATCTACAGTAAGAGTCAGAGTCGCAATAAACAAGCTGTTAAAAGGTTGTGGTGGTGCTCTCTCTCGTCGTATTCCTATGCTAGTATTTACCAGATTTAGAAAAATTACTATTTTTAGGTCTTACTAGCGCTATTACAATCCACGCTAATTAGAAGGGAAGATTCATGGATAAATTACCCCCTTTTTGTTAACCCGCACCAACAATCCTCATCTGTTGAGTTCCACAAAAAATCATCTCCACCCCAAGCCCATCAAAAGAATTCGAAATTCCATACCTTTTAAAAAATTTTACAATAAATGTACATACATACCGACATACCAGAAATTTGATATCTGAAAATCAAAAATAAGAAGTTGATTTATACAACAGGATGTACACCATGATACTCAGTAAGTTTAAAACAAAGAACTCAGGGAAAGATACAGAAAGTTGTTTTAAACCATAATTTATGGGCAATTCCATATGTGACGGAATGACATTTTGACTTGCATGATGACAATTAATTGAAGTTTCTATGCATCTAATTTCAAATAAACATGATTTTTTCTCATGCATATCATTATTATTGGTATAATGTGATTCATAAACTAAAAAAAAAGAATTTTGTATTTTTTTTATTTTTAATTTTATGAACTTTTTACTTGTGTGACGGAATGACATTTTGGCAACCAAGCTTTCGGCATGCCGCTTAGAACTGGTAGTTTCTGTGAATTTTGCAACTATTATTTTCCTGAACTATTTTTTACTTTTAGTATAATGTGTAAGCAATGTAAATTGTGAATTTGGAAAATTAACCTCAGGTTGGCTAGCAGTTATTAACATCTATTTGCTGTGACGGAATGACCGTGACGGAATGACAAAAAGTTTAGTGGAAGAAAGTCTTCATTTAAAAAATGTTTTATTAATATGTAAATGATAAACAGAATGTAACAGATAAACAGAATTAATATTTACGTAAGAATCAGTTAAAATTTCAACAATTTGAAAATTAGGTTGTCTCAGAAGAGGTTTTATATCTAACTTGCCAATGTCACATCTTATCTTCGTTCTCAGGAAATTTATGCATAAATCAATTTTTGTCCCATGTTCTTTAAATACTTTAACATCTAAATCGTCTTTGTTTATCAAAGTAATTTGCGCTGCATATAAATGTGCCTTCTTTTTTTTCGCAGTATGGGACAATGATTAAAGAGCCGACCGCATACTCCTCAATCATATTTTCCATTTCCTCTTCAAAACAGTGGCTTTTCAAATCATACACTTGGTTTTGGTTAAAATTAGAAAGCATTCCAATTTTGATGATTCGCTTCTCAACTACATGAGCATCTAGTGCAGGTCTCTTGTTCCTGGCAATGCTAATGTAGCAAGTGTCTAGCTGAAGTCATTCTCTTTTGCCCTCTCTTAAATAGAATAGCTGGACAAAAACAAAACTTCAACGATTTGTTGCTTCGACTTTATGAAATCATAAAATTCTTTTACATATTATGTGCCGTTTTACAGCAGCCAACATCTTGTTTGGCCTTTTAGAACAACATCACAATTACATGGTATTTATAGGTGCATGTGCTGTGAGGTATTAATGAAATACACTTAACAAAAATGAGAATAAGAACAAAAATGAGATAAGACACACTTTACATCAATATATGCTTCTTTATGAAAAGCCTCTTTTAAGGCCATAAGTATATATTGCATCTGCACTCTTCGTTACTCTGTCAGAGTTTGTATTATGACTGAATCCTTCATACTTGGGGGCTTGTAACTAACATCATCTTGACAGTAAAATTTTTTTAACCAAATTAAACAGCTCATCAACATTACTTTTCTCACTTAGTTTCTTTTGAGTTCGATGTTAAATACTTCTCACATAAAGACTGAATTAATTTTTTTACCTCTATTGGTGATTTTGGAAGTGAGTGTACAATTTTTTTTATGGTGAGTGTACAATTTTTTTTATGGCTTTACCAAGACTCTGCAGGAATTTGTATAGGGAATTTAAATTATTTGTATGTGAAGAGATTGGTAGAATTTGATTTTTTCTTTGTTTACACAATCTCTGCACAACAGCGTTTGCACTTCTGAGTTTTTTAAGTCCAACTTTTGTCGCGGAAGCTTTCTTCTCTGCCTTTCTTTCTCTGTTTTTTTTCTTCATCATATCATGGGGATCTTGGTCTTTTTCAACATTTTATCTGTCTTTCAACAGCTGTTTTAGCCATTAGGTTAATTGAAAAAAAAATAATTCCCTAGTTTTTGACTAAGCTTCTCAAGGACTCGTTTTGTCATTCCATCGCCGAAGATGTGTCATTCCGTCACGCTAATTATTGGAAGTTAATAATCAAATGCATAGAATTTTACAATTTCTCATTGATTCTTATGCCACATCTGCTTTATATTCCAAAATATACACATTTTCATTCAAAAACGCAGTTGCTATTTAAAAAAATATACTAAAACATGTGACGGAATGACACAAAAAAAAGTTACTTTTATTTAATATATTAAACTTAAAATGACTTAAAGGCTATGTTTTAAATGTTTAAATTTTGTACTATATGCATATTTTTATCAAAATATTGCAAAAGAAAGATACATTTCTTTTATTTTATAAGTATTTTTCAAGAAAACAATTTGAGCACAAATGTGAAGAATTCACTTGTCAGCCATGTGATTACTTTAGAATGCTGCCAGATTCAAAAAACTTAAAATTATCAAAAATTAAACAGTAATATGTAGACTTTGGCTATTTTTGAACATATTTTTAAAATTAAAATATGCAATTCATAAAAAAAAATTTCACTTAAAAGTAGACACTTTCGTGGAATTGCCCTTATATATATCTTTAACTCTCCCAGCGTTAATCACATCTTTTCCCCAGTTTTCCGATGCAAGCTTTTTTGCAGCAAAAAAACAGTTTCACCTTATTATTGAATGAAAAATAGTATGTAGGAAAAATTCTTATTTGAATTTTAAAATGTAGCTTTTGAATTGCCAACTAATTCATTTAAATTAATTAAATAATGGCTTGTGAGAAATTTTTGATACAAAAATAAATGCGGTTCTTATACAATTGCAGCACATTAATTCCAAAACCACTGACATATCACTTATTAAATAAGCTTTTCCTAAATATTTACACTTGTAAGAAGCCCAACATATTAAATTCTCCTCCACTCCTTTTTTAGATGTTAAATTTTACAATTTGCATTTTGGCTCCATTTCAGGTTTGATAAATTACACATAAAAAAAAGAGTTCATCCAAATATTTGAAATTAATTTTGATGAAAGTAAAAGTAGTATTAAGTAACATTTCAAAGAAAAAAAAATCAAAGATAAATTTTGTTCAAACACTCATTCTTCGAAAACAAATTTTAGTCAATTTATAAAAAAAAATTAACTCATCATGACTCATATACTAATTTTTAAATCAATCTTGATATGTTAAGAAATTATAGTTTTATAATTCAATAAAGTACATTGCTAAAAAAAAATTTACATTTAAGCTGTCAGGAACTAAGATAATGCTTTTTTCAGGCATATAAGATGTAAATACTTTAAAAATTCACAAACATTGACACATTTTTTCGTTTCTTAAATCACTCATAATCAATAGGTTGACACTTGTGTTTATTTATGGTTGACTTTCTAGCAAAGCTTTTATGACACTTATTCAGTTTTCCCCCCATAACACCAATGTCTTTTACGAATAGATGCTTGATTAAAACTTCTACCACATTTATCACATGCAAATGGTTTTTCTCCAGTATGAACTAAATAATGGCGTCTAAGAGTTGCAGCTAAGCTGAATGATTTTTCACAAACATCACATTTGTGAGGTTTTTCATTCATGTGAACCATTTTCTTGTGAACACGTAAGTTACCCATAGATGTAAATTGCTTATTACAAATTTCACAGGTAAATTTTGTTTTAAATACATGAGTTTTTAAGTGCTTTTCTAAATTTGACTTCAGTCGAGAGCTTTTCCCACAGATGTGACATTTAAATTCTTCAATACTGTTATGGAGTTTCATATGCACATTCAAAGTACCCTTACTAACAAAGCTTTTAAAGCATATTTCACAAGAAACTGCATCCTTGGTTTGATTATGGCTTTTAATATGATGGTTTAAACTATCTTTAATAGAGAAGGTTTTGTTACACAAATTGCAAGCATGTTTCATGACGCAGTGATCAGACATATGAATTTCGAGAGATTCTTTGTCTGTGAAACGTTCATCACATAACTTACATTTTATAGAATGAACACGCTTGCTACGCAAATGAATTTTTAAAGACATGTTGTTATAAAACCTTTTGTTACATATGTGGCATTTATAATTTCTCTCTTGAGTGTGAAATTTTTTATGGACACTAATTTCACGCTTTGTTTTGAAAAACTTTCCGCAGATATCGCATTCAATTGATCTGATTTCTGAATGAGTGAATTTGTGAAAATTCAGCACTTCTTTTTCTCGAAACCCTTTTCCACATACATCACATTTAAATGGCTTTTCCCCTGTATGGATTCTTTCGTGAATTTTTAAACGCCATTTTATCGTGAATGTTTTTTCACATACACTGCAAGAAAGTAGCTTTTTAGGCATGGTCATTTGAAATTCATCAAGCTCTATTAATACAGCAATATACTTATGGCTTTTTTATTAAATTTGCGCCATCACATGCAAAAAAAGTTAGTTTTTGTATAAATGATCATGATTCCGCATGTCCAAAATTGGTCTTTCCCTATAGTGAGTATTTGTCTACTTATTTCTGCACACGTTAAACTCTGGAGTCAAGACTCATTAGAAATTGTAAGTATAACGTTTGTAACTGTCAACTGTGACGTCGCATCTACGTTCTATGAGTTTTTCTCTTTTTAACTCATTTTTTATTTAAAAAAAGATAATAATTATTAATATTTGAGGCGCTAATTACTGTAAATATTTTGTTTGTTTTCATTCCCTTAGTTTTAAAAATGGCTAAGAAGAAGGCAGCAGGTACACCTTGTATTTGTTCAGTCTGTGGTAAAAAATGTAACAATAAATATAACTTGAATCTTCATGAATTATCTCATTCTCGTGGTACGGAATTTCCATGCAGTGTTTGTAACAAAGTGTTTAATTCCAGCCAAAAACTAAGAAGACACCAAATTATCCACACCGAAATCAAAGAGTTTCAATGCGAGACTTGCAAAAAATTATTTAAAAGAATTTGTTCGCTGAGATTGCACTCATTAACGCATTCTGAAGGAAGAACGAGAAAACACATTTGCACTGTTTGCAATAAGGGTTTTTATGACAACCAGTCATTGCAAAATCATTTGCGTAATCCCTACGTTCATTATGTATTGTGCAGAATATGCAGTGAGCGCTTTCCTAATCAGGAAGCTCTAGATGAACATGTTGCTTCTCATCCCGAGAAACCTTTTGCCTGTCAAATATGTTACCGCACATTTGCTAAAAGAGAACATCTTGCTCAGCATAGATTTAGACATAGTAAAGGAAACTCTCATGTTTGTGGAGTTTGTAAACAAAGCTTTTATAGTAAAGGCAATCTTATTCTTCATTCTCTTACACATAACAATGAAAGTGATTCTACTATTACGGCAAAAGAAAATAACACATCTACTGCAGAAAATGCAGACGATTCTTCTTTTGTAGAAAATGGTATAAATTCTGCAGTTGTAGAAGAATCTGAAAATGAATTGCCTGTAAAAGATTCTTGTGTAGAAGTGACAAGTGAAAATGATTCATCTGTTGCAAAAGAGTTGCGTGAAAGTGAATCTTTTATTGTTGCTGAAGAGAAAAGTGAAAATGAGTCTACTAATGTGGAAATGAAATATGTTATTCTTATTGATAGTTAGTTTATAATATATGTAATTTATATCTACGTCTATGAGAATCATTCTTTCTTTAAAAATTGTTTCTCATACCTTTCATTAAAAAAATATATACTACAGTTATATTGTACAATTGGTAGTATTTGGTGAAGAAAAATTTAAATTCAAATAATATGACTAATTTTCATATTTAATATTACAATTATACTAAATATTCATTTCAACTTTTTTCATTTATTTGTATAAAATTATAAGGTTTTATTTAAAATGCATGTTGACTAAACTGTGTCAAAATTAATCTCTACATATTGCTTCATATGTATTCTATTTATCTTTAAATAAAAGTTCAAAGGTTGCTCAGAAATGTATTTATGTTTTGAGTTTATTGACTTATCAAGTTCAAAAAATAAATTATTATATCCGATGTAACATTGGTGACAACTTGCACGAAAAAAAAATAGCAGAAAGATATTAACTTGAGAGAAATAGTAGTTTCAATACAGTTCCAGCAAGCCACTATGTATTTTTATTTATAAGTATTAAATAAGGGTTAAGGTAATTTGTTTGATAATAGGTTAAGGTAATCCAGACTCTGCAAATATCTCGATTTTTATTCACGCGATTTTAATATCAATCATCTATTTTCGTATTTACCTGATTTAAAAGTTGCGCATTGTAATTCATATTTACGCTTTTTAAATATCGTACATTATGACTCGTATTTACGAGATTTAAAAATCTAATATCGTGTTTTGTATTTTTAAAATCGCGATTTTATTATCAAGCATCGATTTTCGTATTTACCTGATTTCAAAGGTGAACGTTGCGATTCTTATTCAGGCCATTTAAATATTGTACATTGCGATTCTTATTTACGAGATTTAAAAAACCAATATTGCGATTTGTATTTGCGAGCTTTTAAAACACTATGTAGCTGCGAGAGCTTAAAATCCAATGTCGTGCGATTTTAAAATTATGCATCTTGATCTAAAAATTACGCATCATGATTTGTATTTTCGCACTTTTTAAATTTGATGTAGAGTTTCATATTCACGTGATTTAAAAGCCTCATATCGGGATTTAAAATCACATGGATTACAAGTTTAAATTTGACAAAAAAAGTGCGATTTTTATATATATATATATATTCTTGTATTTCCTCTTTTTTACTTTCTAACTACTCTCATCCCTGCTATTTACAAAAACTTTTTTTTTCTTAATTTTGTTTAAAAAACAAAGAATTTTTAAGTATTACAGTTTCATGTAGTGTATCCCTAAGCTTTCGACTTATCTTAACTCAAAGTTGAAATTTTTTTTTCATTGTGTTGCGTAATTTAATTTGGCAAAGCAAATAAAAATTATCATGGTATTGAAAATAATTTTCTTGCTTTATCTGATAATGAATATTGGATCTCACTTTATTTGAATTTATAAATTATTAATATTCATAAAATTTTAACGCTTTATTTTCAAACTAACAAATCTCGGCCTTCATTATTTTGATTTGTTTACTGTTTGGTTGGTTATTTTTGTCATAATACACTGGACAGGTTAAAGAAGCAAGCTGAGCAATCTATATTTGAACTGCACAACCAGTTCTGAAGATTCATGAGCAATAAAAAGCTCTGGGCATAGCTTTTAATGTAATTAACATTAAACTATAAAAACTTATATTAATAAAACGTATGATTAAAGATTGAAGCCAGTTCAGATTGCAAAGCATTATAAAATAATCCATTGAATTTATTGTATTTTTAGAGCCAAAAGATTAAAGTAAACTTGTTGCAAATCTATAATTTGTGATTTTATGACATTTATTATTGACAAATAACTCAAATTTAATGAGAAAGTTATGATCTGAACTGAGTACATTTCACTGACTTTTTGATAGTGTTCCTTTATGGTATGAATTTATTTAGTTAAATAATAAGCGAGAAACTGGTACATTATTTTGCCATTATTACATTTACTAATAAACAAATAAATCAAACTTAATGAAAAGGATAGGATTTTGATCTACACTATTGGGATTACATTTGACTGACTTTCCAATAGTTCTGCTTTGTGGCGTGAAACTGACACATTCTTTTGACACTATTGCATTTATTGTTTATAAACAATTAACTGAATTTAAATTTAATGAGATGGGTGAGATTGTTTTGATCTGTGCAACGTGATTCAGGGCTCGAAATTAACGTTGGTCCGTGACCACTAAAATCGGAGTCGGACCAGCATAAAATAAAAAACAGTGGTCCGCCGGACCATCATCCGCCGCAGCCGATCTCCGTTAATCTATTCTCGCAGCCGATCTATTCTCGATCTTACGAAACTTAAACAATCTTACTTAAAGCTATTTGAGAGCTTATTCAAAAAAATTTTTTAAAAATTTTTTATACAAAATTAATATGAATAAAAAAAAAATGCGATTTAAATCAAAAATTTATGATTTTTTAAAAAAAAATCATGATTTTTTCAATCAAAAATTTGAATTTTTTATTTGCAGCTAATAGGAACGTGTAGACGGACCAGTAAAGTTTTGTGCGGACTAGTAAAATGTTTTAGTTACTGGTCCTATGGACCAGTAATTTTTTTTTTAAATTTCTACCCCTGCGATTACATATGACTAACTTTCAGATAGTGTTAATCTTACGACGTGAATTTGTTTCACCATATGTAGTTAAATAAAAAACAGAACTCGCACATTAAATGCTGACTTCCTTTCAATACAATTAATGTTTCTCCTGAATGGTGATAATGAATTGAAGAAAAATTTTTTTACACACTAAAAGTGTAAATATTTTAATTCAATATTTTTTCATTAAAAAATACTTTGAATTATAAACTTTCAAATAGAAATGTCCTTTTTTCGCCAATCATAGAGAAATGTATTGTGAAGCACAGTTAAAGAACCTCTGCTATATGATTTTGAGAACTTTTAGTTTGTCAACTTAATTTCAGCTTAATTTAACCTTTCAAATATATGCGCTTAACTACTACAAATTTTTCATTTAACTATGATACATCAATATATTGCGTGTTATTGTAAAGATGTTCTTTGCTGATCATTATTCCTGTATTGAAAAGCATAAGAAGAAAAAAGATTGTAATGAAATTAAGTGTAGCATTGGCAGTAAGCAAACAAAAGTGGTTGAACATATTTTTATTTATATAACATGATTATACAACAACATAAAAAATAATAAATATTTCTGAATATATTATTTACAAAAATACTTTTTCTTTCTTTCAACTTTAAGTTACGAATAACATCTTAAAATGTAATTAGAGCTACAAAGACTAGTATATCATGTGTCAAGAATTCTGAAACTGAAAATAAAATTTGAATTTTATAATGATGATGTTTGAGGTAAGAGCTTTAACAATTTACTATACATACCATTTTTACATTACCAACACACAATCATACATTTCCATTATTATTTTTGCTATAGTTTTGAACAAAATTTAGTTTCTGGACATGAAACAAAAACAATTATATAACAACTATAAGTACATGGAATTTATAAGTGGAGTCGATTATCTTTTCAATTTCTCATGTTTTGGCAGAATTCCTGAATATTGAGTTAGTTGTGTAAGAACTTTCTAAAATAAAAGTATAGTTTTTTTTTTTAAAGTAGAAAAATCGAAAAGAATATATGTGATGCTTAATCTATAGGATCAAAAGAATATATGTGATGGGTTGAAGGATTTTTTTTATTTTATTTGGTAGATAAGGAAGGATTAAATGCATTAAAATAATTTATTAAACATAAAGTTCGAGTTATGTAAATAAAACTGCCATAGGAAAGTAAAAATTTGACTAAGTTTTGAAAAAAAAGCTACTGTGCTTAAACTTTTACCAATTAACTACTCAAAATTAATTCACAATTTTATTTTCCTCTGGGAAGTACCATAAGAATTAGTTCCCTTTTGCTATGTTGCCACTGAAGCAAGCTACAACCATAAACTATTGTAAGAAAGAACAATCTTTGGACGTATTGGAGTTTGTTTTTAAAGGTTGCATATTAGTTTAAAATTTATAGAATTTAATTGAAAGTAATTAGAAAGTATAAAATTAAAATTTTTTGTGGATGCCTGTATTTCAGATTTATTTATTTTTTATACCACTCTTAAAATTTCCACTGAATACCTCTCAATATAACTGATAGAAAAAATCTACAAGATTAAAGAAAATAATGTAATAAAAATCTTAGCTTAAGCAGGTGTGCTTACAAATCAATGAAATTTTTGCATTATCTGAGATAGGTAATTATGAATTTTTGTAAGATAAAGCAATGCTACAATATGTGATAATTAGGGGTGTCACAAATAGTGATTTGACCAAATACTGAATATTGCGCCAAAAAAAAAAATCGGCAAAATAGCTACCTTTTATTTTAAAAATAAAATTCATTAATATATATTTTTTATATGGAAATAAGTTTAGTCCTTAACCCCTTCCTTCTCGCTCCCGTGAAAATGACGAGGTGAGTTTTCGCTCGCTATTTCTCGCTCCCGTGATATTGACGGGCTGGAGTAGCAATGCGCAAATAAGAATAAAATTAATTCATTTTTTTTGCCCAGAAAACATTTTATTTCTCATTTTACACACCATATAGCAGTACCAGGATATTTTTAAGGTAATTGTAAATAGTTAGTTTATTTTGAACTAGATACTAGTTCTAATCAAATACGTGTATTTGGCAAAATAGACAGTTTTCTTGAAAATTAACCGATTGTTAAGGGGTTAATGAAAAATAATCAAAACTTAAGTTGTATTATTCATTTGGGATAAAGTGAAAAAAAAAACTTCATAAATATTTAAGAGAATAAATATAATTAGATATTTAAAAAATTAGAAATATTTAAGATAAAAAAAAACTAAAGTTGAAAAACTGTAGGTACTGTAAACAACTGTAAAGTTCATCAATAGTAGCATTTTGTTTGTTATACATCTTTTATAAACATATCAGTAACATTGTGAAAAGACAACTTCTTAAACGACATAGTACTCTTTCCAAGAGATTAATTTGGACAAGAGTGGCATGTAAATAAGTTATTTGGAAAGTGGGTACATTAATAATTGTAAATTAAATTTTTAAAATTTAAACTTCAAAATACTTTTTTTTTAAAAGTTAGTTTAAAAAAGACTTTCCAAAACTTTCATAAAACTGTCTGAGCGGTCACCAGAAGCATTAAATAAATACTTTTTGTTTATAAAGATTCCTATCCAACTAAACCATTAACTATAAATCTTTTTCTTTGTTTACAATCATAAAGTTAAGTGCAGTGAAGATATAAAAATTACTGGCAAAATATCGAAAAGAAAATAGTTTTAAAAAGTGACCCTATTTACGAGTCTGGCGACTAGTTTTTCTTTGCATCTCCCCCTTCCTCATATAGACACCTCCAAATAGAAGTGAGCATATTTACTATTACTTACTTTTTTATTTCTGTATTCAAAAAGCAAATTACAATTAATAATTTTATACTTTGATAACTTATTTAAATGAAATAATAACCCTCATTAACATATGTATTACAAAAAAATTATTACATATTTACTGCCTAACGAAATTCAATAAAAAGCATAGAAAAAATAGGTAATTAATGTGCTTCTTCTAAATAATTATTATTTCGGACAGTAACAGGCAGTTGAAATCCTATTGATTAAAAATATATCATTACTCAACTTGAGAAAACAATTTTTAACTTATAAATCAGATTGCCTTTCAATTTCAATATTGTAACATTTTTGAAATATTATATATAAAAAAAAGTGAACTATTAAGAACTTTAAATCTGAAAATTGAGTAATATAAAAGTCTATTTATGGTAAATGGCTGTCATGTTCAATAGCTATGATAGAGAATATAAAATAGTTGAATGCAAACTTCATGTTTATAGAATGTAAATTATTAAAGCTTAATATAGTGTATAAGACTTTTTTTGAATTTTTGGCAATGTTAAAACTGCAATAAAATTTAAAATAACTTCCAATGTACTAGAAAGTATCAATCTGAATTTTCAAGAAAATAAAATCAATTAAAACAACAGCTTATATTGCAGAATGACTTCTTTATTTTCTAGTTCTGTATTTTTTTCTAAACTTTCTATACCATTAATTTAACTAGTAACTTACAACTTATTGTAATTAAGCCTAACAATAATTGTAAGAATTAAATCCAATTTTGTAGTATTAAAATATATTTTGGATGGGACATTTAATATAAACATTGTTATATACATAAATATGCATTATATAATATGTAACACATACATAAATATGTTATTTTATAACAATCTGCAATGTACACTTAACAACATTTTATAAGTAAACACGGAGGGTATAAAATGCCATTCATACATATAAGTTGGCCGCAGCTCTAAAATATTGTTAAGGATATCCACATAAAATCAAAGGAGTAATCATGAAGTAATTATTTACACTTATTATCACTAACAACCATAGGTGTTTAAAAGTTTTTATTTGAACGCAGTATAAAACAAATTGATTGATTGTATTTTTATTTTGAAGAAAAAAAAGAGGCTATACATAATAATTTTGTATAAAATAATTACCTTAAAATAATTAATAATAGTTTTCAAATAAGTATATTTCAATGAAATTATAGCTGCAATGATATAGCTAAGAAGACTTATTTTCTGTTCATATTCATTCAAAAATATACATCACATTATTTACAAGGATATCACAAGCAGTCTGAGAAATTAGTAATTTCATTCAGAGCTAAAAGAGAGACATCTTGGGGATATACCAATTCGACTTTCACGCTTTTTAAGCCTCGGTATTCTGACAGAAGCCAAGGGTGTTAACGATTTCGAGTTTTTGCTATTTTCTAGGGACCTAAATAAGGAAAAAACTTAAATGAGAAACTTCATAAGTTAGAAACAAAGACTTAAATTTTATTAAAGAAAAAACTCACATACACTTTTATTGACACCAATTCACGAAATTTCCATTTCTTAGACAATAACTTTATAAAATTTCAAATTAACAATTTTTAAGTGATAGAATTCACCAATTTTAAGATTCACACAAGTTGAAATAAGAGATAATTTAATCTTTACAATTTCACTGATCGAAAATTAAAAAATGTCAGTGATCAAAGTAAAAGAATATATATATATATATATATATATGCATGAGTTTTTGGTCTTGCAAAAGTTTTTGGTCAGACTCAATATTGTTGATTCAAAATGTAGTTAATGTATAATTTTATTTTCAAACTTGACGAGTTTGTTTATCAAAAAGGAAACAAAGTCAACTCTTTGAAAATTACTTTATATCAAATACAATTTTCATATCAGTCAGGTATTAAATGAATAGCGTTTTTAGTGTTTAGTAATTTTCGCACATAAACTGGATGAATTTCTTTGTTCATAATACTAATATTTAGTCAAAATACAATATTTACTAATAAATATAGCTTTTAAATATTTAATTACTAAATCAGAATCACAACTTTATATATATACTATTAATTTACAATCAAATTTGTTCTTGAATGAACCAAAATACAAAAAAAAAAATAAAAATAAAGGTACTCTAAATATTCATCAAAAAGGTTACACTCACGATAAAAAAGCAAGCAAAAAAAAAAATAATAAATAAATAAATTTTAGAAATTAAGTGCAACATATATATATTGGCTCGACTAAGAACATTGGGAACAAACTCTACAAAAGCATTGGTACACACACACAAAGGATTTACCCTGGAAGGTCAAAATACACAACAATTGTGGAAGATAATGTAGCAGATGTAATGTAGTAGATGCAAATGTAGTAGATGTCTTCCAACCACGATGATTAGAGGTAAGTTAAATAAAATAAGGACAAAACCAATATTAGAAGACTTTGTCAAGAGGCAACTAGGTTGCTTTAAATGGTCACATAGATTACCAAAAACATCCACTGCAGCGTATAAATAAAAAGAAACGTCTTCAGTGGGCAAAAATACATACATTATGGACATTAGATCAATTAGAAGGAACCCTTTTGGACTGATGAATCAAAATGTTTGAGAGACGGCTAGTAAACAAGCAGCTGATAATTGTTTAAGTTATTTAGTGAAACATGGTGGAGGTAATCAGTTGATTTGGGGTGGATTTGGAGGCAGAAAAGTTGATAAATAAGTTCAAGTCAAGTTTACAATCGATAAAAAAAGTTTATTGTAGTATAGTACGTCATGTAGTGCTATCAGGTAATTGTAATATTGGCAAAGGCTTCTTTTTACAGCAAGATAATGACCCAAAGCATACTTCAAATCTTGGTGCAAATTATTTAAAAATGAAAGAACAGAAAAAAGTTCTTAAAATCATAATGTGGTCTCCTCAATCACCTGATCTGAATCCTACAGAATCGGGGGGTAGAAAACTACAGGACGAATTGGACAGAAGAGTATGATTAACAACTCTAAACAATGTAACAAGGCTTTGGAAATGTTTCGAAGATACTTGGAGAAATTTAAGCTAAAAAACTTCAGAAAAATTAGCTTCTTTAAAACCAAGTCTGTGTAAGGTAGTCATTGGTAATAAAGGGGGTAATATTGACAAAAAAAAATTTGAAGAAAAATTATATATATTAATTATAAAATTATTATAAAATAAATTATACATATTATGTATTAACTTGTTACTCTTCATACTAACATATTAAAATATTGTTTCTAAACATTTTATTAATATTAACGATGTCATATGAAATAAAATCGATTAGAGAACATACCTCAGTTTAGACAGAATTGAGTTTTTCCATTTTGATATAAGTGGATATAATTTGCTGTCAATATTGATGTCCCGTATGGCTAAAAGCATATCAATGTCTAAGCGTGACAATTCCGACCTAGAGATATAAAAGAACATTTAAGAAATAGTATATATATAAATCGCATTCTTTACTATAAGCTAATTTAGTTTTTATCTTTGTTTAAAATACAACAAAAAAGATAACTAGTTATAAAAAAGATGTTATAAAAACATGTTTTATTACAATGTAAAACAAGACAGTGTGAAACTTATAATAATAAATCTGAGTTTACTAATTCAGAAACCATTTCATAACTTTTAAAGATTCATAAGTTACAAAAACATTCAAAACTTAATCTTTTAAAATCTTAAATGTAACAAAAGTCAATTTACAAATAATTAAAAAAAATTGCGTTTAGTTTTTTTTATAAAAAATGACACACAAAAAAATCGAAATGCAATATAGCTTCTATAACTAATATCTAATTAAAAATTTAATATCATATTAGTAGAACAGTCTGAGTTAAAAATGAGCATTTAAAAAATAATTTAAATCATAAATAAATTACACACACAATAAAAATAAAGAAATCATTACAAATTAAAACACTTAAATCTTACAGATTACCACAACAGACTAATATGCATATTATTCCCAAATTGAATAATAAGTGACAGATAAGAAATATCTGGCATAAAATTGGAGAATTAATCAATATTGTTTATTTGTAATAAATAATAATTATAGTTTTGATAACTTAAACCCATAAAAATTGTTTTTTACTTCACAACTGCTTTTTCTAAACATGATTGGCCTAAATTATTGCATCAAAACAAAAAGTGAAATGAACATGAAATAAATTCAAAATTATAGTATAATTACCCATTCACATATAAATGTACTTCTGTTTGCTTATTTTCTTTGCGAGGGCATTCAGGTGAACTCGGAGGAGTGTAAAAGACATCATCATCTTCCTCTTCATTAGATACTACATTTTGTCCTACATACAAAAGAATTATGATTTTAACTATTAAAATAAAATGTCTCCATTGTTATACGAATTCTATTTGTGATAACAAAGGCAGACTTTCTGTCCCCATCTTCTGATTAAAAATAATTAGTGCTTAGAAGAGTGTTGAATGTATAGCATTGAAAGGGCAAATAAGTTCGTATTTACATATATTTTTTTGTCATAACACAAAAGTCTTAATTATTATTATTACTTTTCTCAAGAAAAAAATAATATATATATTTTTATAAATACATAAACAAGTTTTTAATTATGGCCACAGCCCAAGCTTTGGTTGTCAAATCTTATAAAAACATAAAAACTGCATTAATTTTATTTAAAGTCTGGAAACTTTTTCTAGTTAAATACATAGCGAAACAGAAAAACATAGGCTTAATTTATCAATCATATGATTCTTTTTTGCAGAATAAATAACCTTTCTACTTAATCATTCATTATTTAACTAGTTTTTCTTATTCCAAGAACTCAAAATTTTGTTGAGTTTTGAGGGCTAATTAATTTATAATAAACAATGCTAACTTCAAAATAGATATTTGAATTAGGAGCTAATTTTAGCTGTAAATTATCAACATACCTGCATTTAATAAAATTGAGATCAATTTCAATGCATTAACAAAATTTATTATTATATTTCAAAATCGATATTAACAAAAAAAAAATTATTATCTCAAATTTTTTATTAGTAAACTTATTCTAATTCTTACCTTTCAGAAAATTATTCAAGTAGTGACCAAGAGGATTTACAAATGATGCAGAATTAGGAATGGAAGCTGAAGGGTTGCTGTTATTTTCAGACAATGGATCACAATTCTCTTTAAAACTTGCATCACCCATTGCTAAGAGAAAATGCTGTTGCAAATGAACAAACACATAAGTTTAAACCAAATGAAAAAAACCATACATTAAAAAAATTTTTTTTTTTTAATTATTAAAAAAACTGCAAACTAAAACAAAACAGAAAAAAAAGAAATGATGTGCTAAAAGTATTGCAAAGCATACATTTTATCATTAAAGACTAAATTTTATCTTAAACAAAAATTCAATAAAAAAATGCAAAAAGTTAATATCAGAAAAGTAGCGAGATAGAAATTCAAAAAACACCATATTTAACAGTTATTGTTATCAAAAAATTTTTATTTCTAAGGTAATTTTTTTCCTTTATAATGCTTTTAAAAATAAAATAGAAAAAAGATAGTTAAAAGAAAGATATTTAACACCTCAATTTTTTGCACAATCATCAATATTGTTAATCATTTATACAGTGCACACACATTAAATTTTAGTTTAACTTCTGAATAGTTGGTTGTGTTTTCGCTAAAGCTGGTACACTGATGAAAGCACGAGTTTAATTCACACTGAGCACATTTATTGCCCTAATGGGACTTTGCATATTATAATGCAGGACTCAGAAGAGTTTTATTTTGAAACATATTTAAGCAGATTTCCCCTCTTAGTTCACAAAATCAAATAATTTCTGTTTAACTAATTAATTTAATAGTTAAAGGAGTATTTTTTTACATTAACTGCCATATTTTCACTCTTCCAAGCATTCAATGTGTTATAACACAACATCCATGAACAATATTTAGAAGAAAGAAAAAAAACTAAGAGGAATATTTTCACTTTGTTTGTTTAATATTTGTAAGGATTACTCTTTGGTACTTTTAGATCCTTAAAACTTAGTTTTAATAAATGAAATATGTGGCTAGATATGCTATGTTGAACTTGAGTATTACTCAGTAGGTTATTAACAACCTAATTTTTTTAATGTATATATAACAAAAGTTACCCTGCAATATCAATATTTTTTTAATCTGAAACCTAAAAAATTGACTTTTTTGAAGCAGGTAAAAAAAATTCCTTTTTCAGAATTAAAAAAAAAAAAAGTACACACAACAAATAAATTCAAAGGATCAAAATACAAGATTTCAACAATATCTACCAACAATAATCTTCAAAATATAATTTTGAAAAAATATATTAAAACTATGTAACCTAAACAAATTACCATATAATGCTTATTCAAATGTGATTCAAGGAGTTTCAAGCCCTCAGTAGAAGCTAAATTTATAAAACAATCTAATACAGGCCAATACTCAATCCACTCTGCATTTAAATCTTGTGCAATATTCCTAAAATTGAAATATTCAATAAATATAAGAGAAAAGTATAAAAGTTATGTATTTAAAGATTTGAAACTAATTTGTATTGACTTTAAAAAAAAACAACAACTGAATTTTAGACCTTACCTTCCAGCTCTTTCTAAGCCTTTTTCAGTGTCAGTTAAACGAATTTTATGAATGCATTTTTGTTCATCCACAGTATATGATTGACGTTGTGGTGTTGAGGAAGGATTCTTCCAGATTTTATAAAATGTCCTAGCCTGTAGAAAAGTTTTAATTTTTCAATATAATGAAAAACAATTTGAATTAAATAAATTAGCAGAAATAAAATTATTTTATTTAGTAACATCTTTTGTGAATTTTTTATTATTGTAATGAAGGATATATTTTCAGTTAAAAAATATATAATTTATTTTATTTTGATTGTTATATTGTGTTTTTAAACACAACCTTACAAAAAATATGAGTAAAATAAAACTAACATATATTCTTTTAAGGTTCTGATAGTTATTAAATGAGTGGTTAGGCAAATATATTAAAATAAATTTTTTGGTAGTTTTTTTTTAAAAATCATAAACGAAAAAAAAAAAGAAATAAAACTAATAGGCAGCTAATCATTATTTTTATGAAACTTAAGTTCTAATAGCCTTTACATTGGCCTTATGTCACAGAATGATAATGACACTTCTGAAATATCATGCTCAGAAATATTTTGAGGAAAATATGCTTAAAAAGTTACATGTTACATTGATAAAGCTTAAAATGCTATTTATTTTGCTTATTATTATTTTTTTTTTGTTTTCAGGTTTTAAAAGCTTAATTTTAGACCCTTTAAGTATGTTCAAATACAAAGTTGGTAGCATTAAAAGAATAATTATTAATTCTCTGAGTTGAGGCAGCAACAGCAGGTTACTGTTGTTTTTTATTCAATAAGTTTCCCATAATCAAACAGTTAATCATTAAAGTATTGGTACATTTTGTCGTTCCACTATCATAATTAATTCAAATTATTTAATATTATGTATATATTTCAGAGTTTTTCTGTACTATACTAAACATTTATACACTTTATGATTTTCAATTCAAGGAATGATTTTGGATTTAATATGAATTCTGAAAGAAAAAAAAATGTGCTTTCTTTTCAAATTTTGAAATAAAAAATTAAATCATCTGAAAAATAAAAAAGAAATATTTTTACAGAGAATTTTCAATGCAATCATTGATACATGCTCTGAATTTCTGAAAAACCTACAAGTTTAATTACATCAATGTTATCATTGTAATTGTTATTTTGTTACCCTTGAAGATGACCCATTATTTATATACAGATTTTTTTTAACTACCTAAGAAATTTTTTCTCCAAGTAAGAGAAAAACAAATTAGTTTCCCTCTGAAATTTTTATACAAAGATAAGTTTTTTTCAATACAGAATATTTTGTGTCCAAAATAAATTGTTACAAAGTTATATAGATTATCATAGAGTTGTACATAAGCCATATATTAACACTAGTGATAAAAACTATTTGTTATAATCAGAAGAAATAATTAATTATAAACATAAATGCCAAATTAAAAAAAATTAAAAAGTATGAGAAATTTAGAATTTTACAGTAAAATTTAAATACACCAGAAATGAATCATTTACCGCTTCAGGAGACATTGGACCAGCAAATGCTTTCACCAGCAAGTTAGGACTGTTGACATTCATATTTGAAGAACAATACTTTTGCTCTATTTCAACTTTTGTACAAGGTTTTTCAATACAAGGTGGAAGTACATTATTTTCTGCTCTTAAAACAGGAACATACATCAGTCCTATAAGCAATAAAGCAAATGTATTTTTAAAAAATGTTTAAATGATGTATTTTATATTACTGGATTATGATTCAATTAAAAATATTTTACAACTGAATCATATAAAGCACTGCTTAAAAATTGCAAACAGAAAAGGAAAATCTATTTTAATTAATGATAATTTCTTTTAAAAAAACATCATCATCAAACACTGTTTTTTACACATAGCTGCCGACATGGATAGGAAAAAATCCGGTAGATTTTACGAAATAATATAAATTTCCTGATAATTGTTGCGAAATATACTAAATATTTTACATTTAGGGAATATTAGGGATTTTTATAGTCATCAAAATCGAAAAACTGCAATATTTCCCAGATATAATTTCACATTAAATGATATTGAAATGTTATAGATTATGTTTTTTTTTATAATTTTGAATAGTAATAGGCATTTAATAGTTAACTGAATTTTATAAATGAGGCTCGCTTCCTTATGTATTAGTGACACTTATTTAAATATTCAAACAAGCAATAATCTGCACGAAAATTCTATTTCAATAGTGATTTTTCATGGAAACTTACTTAATTTTAGGGAATTTGTAAAAATGTACAAGAGAATTTTTATTAAACCGGTAGAAACTGGCAAAATCCAGTAGTCTACTGGTAAATCCAGTAGAGTTGGCAGAGATGTTTAAATTTTTTCTTCACACAGTTGCTAAATATTTAAATAGTACATTAATCATTTGAAGAAAGTACAATAGATAGTCTCAAGAGTTTATTAAAAATATTTTAAAAAAGCAGAAATACTAACCCTTAAAAGCCTCTTCAATATTTTTTCTCAAAACATCATTAGGAGATGAGCATCTAGTACAAATAGTTTGAGCAGGAGTTTCACCATATTTGTTTTTCTTATCTTTTATGCAATGTGGGTGAGATAATAGAATTTTAACAGTGTCTAAACAACCAAACTTAGAAGCAAAATGTAATGGGGTTTCACCCAGCTAGAAGAAAATAAAATTAACATGAAACACTTACTTCAGAAAAAAAATACAAATACAAAGGTTACAAATTGTTATTAAGATAGATAAATTATCAGTGCATGATTTTAAATCTATTTTTAGAGTAAAGTTTATTATAACAACTTTAAGGGGCTGTAAAAGGTATAAGATATCAGAGGTACAAAAAAAAAAACATCCAACCTAGGTTGGAGATGAGTTCAGGGTAACTTTCGGAGGTTATTTTTCAGTCATTCTTCATTTGCATCTTGCTTGAGTTGGACGTACCTTGCTCTGCTCCTTGATACGTCACTTCTCCACAGAGGAAGAGACAGCATCCGCCAAGCCATTCATCTGTCCAGAAAACGAAAATGAAGTCAAAAGAAATTTTACATCCTTGCAAGCAAGCACAGGATCGTTACAGAAAGGTTCCAAAAAGTCAAACTGGAAGAGTCAACTCCTGTATCTACAGTTGAGATGACCGGAGAACCCAAGGAAGCTGTTTCAACTCCAGCTGAGAAAAAGTCAAAGAAATCCAGGAAAAGGAAAAAGAAGCAGGTGACCAGCTCCTTCAGTAAGCCAGAAAAAGTCTTTCGGGGGGACAACCCTGAGTAGCCAAAGGTTGTCGTCGAGCTTCACGAGCCAAACTCTCCAAAGCCCGCAGTCATCTTTACTCCTAAGGGCTTCGTCATTAAGTCAGTCTTCCGAGGATTGCCTGTGGACTAAGCCAATGAAGATCTTGAGAATGCCCTGACAAGGGAGAACCAGCACCCCTTATGAGTTATCCAGATGAGAAAAAGGATTTCTGCAAATGGCCAAGCACCTGTTTACAGGACGCTTCCGCTATTCATTGTCCTCCTGAACTTCAACGAGCGGCAACAACAAATTTTTGACTTAACGGAATTTGCTGACCACCCCATAAAGGTCAAAAGACGGTGGTAAATTTTTACCACAATGTTTTAGACGCCAAAAGTTTGAACATTTTCAAATGACCTGCACCTCTCCACCATGATGCTTGAAGTGTGTGAATCTTCATTACACCTATATCTGCAGTAAAGACAAGACAACTCCAGCCAAGTGTGCTAAATTCAGCCTCGATTATCCTGCCAACTCTTCCGGCTGCACCGCCTGAGTCAAGTGGTCAAAATACCATCCCAAGACAGCTGCTAAGTCCCCTAGCAAAGTTGGTAGATTTGTCGGCGTCATTCAGGACATAACAATTTTCAGACCCCTTTTACTATAATGGTAAAAAATGCAGCAGAATTTCTTTTTGTTTGTTTGTCAGAGTACGAATGACTTAATCGCAAAGAAAATGTTTCTGACACTTCAAGTGGAAAAGGAGATAAAGCTTTGAAAATCATATCTTGCAATATTTCTAATAACATTAAGAAAATAATATTTAATTAATTTGTTCTGTGTCAAAAATTATTAAAGTCAAATTTGCTATAACACTATTTTATAATATCACAGCAAGTTATTGTCCAAACAACATAATAAAGAAAGTGGTATCTCTCACACCTCTTAAATCTGTTCATAAATTAGCTTTAATTTCTAAAATTCACTCATTTTTAAATAAAATATAATTTCGTATTTTATACCGAACTATTCATTGAGATACCAACTTGTAGAAACGTTTTTTCGAAGTCAAAGAGATATTTTTCATTAATATTCTGTAGTAATACAGATAATTTGTTATGATACATTTGGCACTTAAATTAAAATGCAAAATTAAGCATTCATTTGATATTTCAGACACAATATTTTTTTTTGCGTCTTTGAAGATCGAAACAAACTTCAAAATATATAATTATTAAAAGAATAACAATCTATTTTTTAGAATGATTATTTTGCATTTAATAACCAAACAACTGCCTGCAAACTATAAATAGTTACTAAACTTGCACATTAATTGAAATAAAAAGAAACCATTAAAAAATTGAATAATAAAATTTTTTAAAGCTTAGTTACCCTTTTATCTGGATTATTCAAATATTGGTCTAACAAATGGTGGATTTTTTCCGTGCGAATTTGAGGGTCACATTTGTATAATTTGTCAAAAAACTTAGGATCACTCAGAGTATCTAAGATGAGTTGACACATCATTGGCTTTTTACACCTTGCTGCAATGTGAAGTGCATTGTAGCGAAAGCCTTCCTGTAAAGAAATAAGGAACAGTTAAAAATAAAAATATTACAAACAAATTTAGTAGAAAATACAATAAAATACTGTTTACTAATAAAAAAAAATTTAAAAAAAAATAAGCATTAGACAGATTTTAAATTAAATATTTTAATTTGAAAATTACAAGAATAAATTTTTATATTTTTAATTAAGATATTTATATTGATAATATGATTAAAAAGCAATGAATCAAAATAATAATAATAATACATAAATAACTAAAAAATATTTGTAAGCTTTAAAATTTTTTTTTAAAGGTGAGCTTTCAGATAAATGATGAAAATAATATAACAACTTTAAATAAAAAAAAGGAAAAACACTAAATCATATATCGAAACTAAATTTGATTTTATTCCCCTCTTGCCAACTGTTTTAGATTATTCATAATAACAAAATATTATTTTTGAAACAACTAACATGCTTATCCATGATTATTTTTAAACAAATTATTATTTTAAAATTAAATAATTATTTGTTTATAATTTGTAATTATTTATGTATTTATTTTTTTCGCGAATGGCAAGTACTGAACTTTTGTTCTTCACCTTGGAAGATGCCGGAAGTGTTGCTCATTTAACGTTACCCAGTGTGAACCTAAGTCACGGAGGCGAGCAACATTAACCACGCCACAAATACCCGTTCAAAGGCTGGGCCACATTCACACAACAGAGGACAACACATAGAGAGACAGAGCGGGATTCGAACCCTCAGCCATTGGCTTCGCAGTCAGGCACGCTATCCGATCGGACGGAATTTGTAATTATAATTACTTGTAATATTAATAATAATTTGTAATAAGTGAAAAATAGATTCATAGTTAACATTACGAAAAAAAATCAGTTTTTTTTCTTTCCCCACAATAACCTGATAAAATGGAAAAGAAAATATGATTTTTTAAAGCATTCAACAAAGACACATTATTGGTTTTGTCATTTTTGAAGGATGCAGAACAATTTCTTGTTGCTAATTAAATTATAATGACCAATGTTGGCAGAGTTTTGGATATCAATTAGTTAATTATGAGGTCTTAAAGCCTCAGATATTATTAAGTATGCTCTTCAAAGTAGGTAACTCTGTAAAGTACACAGACTTTCTGAGTAAAGGGTCACTTGCATATCAGGTTGACCAATGAATGGTCACATACTTAAGTACATGTTGAAGGCAGTTTGTATAAATATTAATGTTGAGACACTTAATTATTTTTTTTAATCAGTAAACTTAGTAATTCATTTACAAAAAAAATTAAATGCTTTTAAATATTAAAATTTTTTCCGACCTGAAGAAAATCAAACTGACACTTTTAAAAATAATAATAAAAATAATATTTCCATCTTATCAGCAAAAAAAAATAAATAAAATAATAATAAGAAGAAAATATAAAGATGGAAAAAATAAAAAATTTCTTTCATTACATTACCTAATACAAAATATATATTTTACTGAGTAATGTAAATGCAAATTAAATATTTTAATTGAAGAAATGCGTTAAAATTAATCTAAAAAGAATTAAAATAAAACAAATGCATCATAGTTCAAAAAAAANTTAAAAAAAAAAAAAAAAAAAAAGATTTAAGAATTAGTTGGAAACATATTTTTAACTTTAAGACATTTAAATTGAGTGAGTTATAAGAGATTTTATGAATATTCATATGCTCTTTTTTAAGCTACAAAACGTTAAATAGAAACAGTAAATATTTTTTTCATCCATGTTTGAATTTCACCTGTTGTAATATATTGAGATTTTTGAAAAACCGTGTGGAAATTAGTAGAACAACTGCCAATAAAACAGTCCTAAAAAAAAATGGATTGGCAATGAAATCGGCACAAATAAAGTAAGTGTTCAAAGTGATTATTAAATTGATAGATCTGAAACTCGCAAGTTATAGTAATATCACACTAAAAACGTTGGCACAAATAAAGTAAGTGTTCAAGGTGATTATTAAAATGTTAGATTTGAAACTCGCAAGTTGTAGTAATATCACACTAAAAATGCTGAAATTTCCTAAATAATGTATAAAAGCGCAGCAATATACTGCCAAAAAAATTATAAAAAATCCTTAGACTTGTGATGAAATCGGCAGTAATAGAGCACTCATTTTAATAAGCAATTCAAGAGTCATAATAATACATATTAAACATATCATGATTTTCTAAACCATGTGAAATTGCACACTAATAACTGACAAAAAATAGCTTTAATTTACCAGGAAGTTGGCAGAAATAAACCACATCAAAAGTGATTATTAAAATGCAGGATTAGAAGCTCGTGAGTCAAAACGGTATCATGTTAAAAATATGTAAAAATCCAACAATAACTACCAAAATCATGAATGAAAAGTTACTTGGGTTAATGATGAAAGGGACACAAATGAAGCCCATCAAAAAAATAATTATAACTCAATTTCAAAATTTGTGCATCAGAAGATTCAGGTTCTGTTGTGGGTTGCAGATTGTGCACTGCTAATGTAAAGGATAGAGAAATCCTGTAGCTCATGCAAGAAAAATTTTAAGATTCACTGTACAAGAACTTTTTTACTTTTCTCCCACTAGCTTTTAACCAAAATTGTGGCTAAATGTTTGAGGAAGGAAAAGTGGAGCTAGAAGCTGGAATTTGTAAAAAAATATCAAAAAATAAAGAGGATGAAAACTATCATTCAAAATATAATTTTACGTACCAAGTATTAAAAAAAAAGTATATATTTTTCATGTTACAGCACAGAGTTATAAAACACAAAATAAGGGGCAAAAAAACTTTTACTAAGAGTCAGAACAAAAATGTTAAAAACTATATTACCATCACTAAACTTAAAAATATTACAATTGTAAACAAATTCAGGGCTAAAACAAAAAATAATACAATTATAGGAGTAAAAGAGAAAAAACTTGTAAGGAAACTGCATAAATTCTTGTAATAAAATGTTTGTTACTATCAAGATCTAGTAACTGTTGTAATTTCAAGCGTCTCCCGAATAATTAAGTATGTTATAATTAATAGAAAGAAGTGGGAGATGAAATCATTTTACCACCAGTTTTATCTCTTTTCCTGGTAAGTAACAGTCTTGCAAGTTTCAAAATTACAATAAAAATTCAAGGTAAATAATAAAAGCACTAAAGCATTTATTTCTATGATATTAATTTGATAAAACATACTGCGTTTAAAAGAAGTGGTAATATACTTGTTTAATACAAAATAAAGCAGAGTATGACATTTACATGCAAAATTGAAGGTGTATCTCCATGATAATTCACCAAGTATCTAGCATTTTCCCAAACTAGTTGTGAAAAGCTTTGAGCACTTCCTTGCTCAATTGCTTTTCTGAGTATCACTAAATCTTGGCACTTGACTGAAGGAAGACCATCTGTGAACATACAAATTCAGGATTAAAATAAAGATAATAATTAAAGAGCTTAATGGATAACATGATTTTTAAAACACAAGAGGTAGAAATCTGTAATAGAACTAATAATGTTATTGATTTACATTTTCATTGATTTGTTCTAAGAAAAACATTATATTATAGTAAAGACAAAGGAAAATATTAGAATACTTTCATGTTTAATAACAAGAATTCAATGTATCTTCATTTATTACAATCTTAGAGATGAGATTCTGTAAATGACTGTTACATGCTTTAGATGAAAGAATGTCTAAAAAGCATCGATAACAGCCAATTTATGTGAGTATTATATATTTTTAAATTTTTAAATGCAGAAGAGTAACACTTAATTATGCAACTACAGGTTTTTTTAAAAATAGAAAAAGGCCTCAATATAGAAAGTACTATATGAGAATTGATCAGTTTTTAATTTTAATAGCAGAAAAAACAAAAAAAGAATATTAAATAAACATTATTTAATTAATAAAACTAAGGTGTTTGCTCCTGCTCTTTTTTTGTCCAGATTGTGTCACAAATATTTGTTTTTCTTGATAATAAACAGATTAATAAATCAAAATGAAAAATTATTCAATTAAATTATCCAAATATGATTTTTTTTAAACACATACTTTGTTCAAAATTCTATTAGAATAAAAATTAAAGATACCATTAAAACTTAATCCAAAGTTCTTTTTTTAAATCCTTATATTATTTTTGGCTACTTTAAAAACTTGTGAAATATTTTCACCATAAGAGATTATTTAGCAACAGAGTCAAAAATTAATTCCTAATATTTCTTTGCAATTTTAAATACAGTCAAACCCCACTATAGTGAACTCCCGGATATAGTGAACGAAATGTTTGGTCCCGTGCCTTGCTATACCCATATAATGTTATTTTTTGTCGATATAGTGAACCAAAAAAGTGATGAAGTTGGATATAATGAACTTTTTTCTGTCTTTGACTGATTTTTTTCTTCATTTTTTGCATTAGTTTTGAAATTTCTACTTCAAAATAAATACATATACCGATTTTTAAAACCATCTATAGTGGAGAAGGCAGCGATAAGCATTTTTTTTCTTGTTTGCTTCTCTTATCTTACTTTCCCATCCCTAAAGAAATCAAGTAGATGTTTCCAACCCAGGCAGATGATGCACCTGTAAGGTGTCAGTGGGATCAATATGCATTTTCTGTCAGAGGGAATGAGTAATTATTCATTATTGGTCAAAGAGTTGGACACTAATATGTGTTTATAAAGCCCTCATTTCAACTCCTTTTTGCTCTCAGTGCAGTTAAAAAAAGCCTGCAAACAAGTGTCTCAAATTTAACTATGGCGAGCAGTAAACGTGAAATGTTCTCCATTGATGATAAAATGGGCATAGTCAGAAAAATTGAAAATGGATGTAATCAAGCTGATATTTGCAGGGAATATAAACTATCCAAATCTACAGTTCGTAACATATGGAAAAGTAGGCAATTAACAACTTCGACTGAAGGGAAAAAGAAAAGA